CTGAATGTTGGCCTTTAAAAGAGAAGCATAATACTAAATTAAGTGTTGCCGAGATGAAAATGATTAGGTGGATGAGTGGCTTTACACTTAGAGACAAAATGCGAAATGAATATATTCGTGATAGGGTTTGTGTAGCTCTTGTGACGGAAAAAATTAGAGAAAGTCATCTTAGATGATTTGGTCACATTAACTGTCGACCATCTGATGATCCGATTAGGAGAGTAGATGTTTTAGATTCGACTTATGTTAAGAAAGGCAGCGGTAGACCTAGGAAGACTTGGGCGTATTGTATAAAAAATGATCTTAATCTATTAGAACTTAAAGAAAGTATGACGCTAAATAGGACGCAATGGAGAAAAAGAATTCATGTAGCCGACCCTACGGAGTGGGATTAAGGCTTTGTTGTTGTTGTTGTTGATCCATCCAAACCAACTTACATCCTTATCTGCATGGAAAAGATAACGGCTTAGAGGCCATTGCGATCATTTTTGTATTTTGTTTTTATTTTTTTTATTTTTATTTTGTTTTGTTTATGTTTTGATTTAAATTAAATCATGTTTGATTCAAGTAATTATTTTAAAAAATACTCAAAATATCTTTTAGGTGGTTTGAGTATTTTTAAAAAGAAATTGATTCATTTATAAAAATAAATAATGGAAACATGTAAAATTTATACCAACCAAACATAATTTTAAAAATAAAAGAAATAATAAAAACAAACATAGAAACAAATGTGATGCCATATAGGCCCTTAGTCTACTGGGATGAAATTTTCCATGTTCTCCCAACCATGAGAAAACCTGCAATAAATAATCAAGGCAAATGATCTTGACTGACACCATCAAAACTACCAATTGGCTATAATTCATGATTCTTTTTCTTTAGATTTTTTATTTTATTTTGTCAGAATCAAACTTTAGGTGAAAATGCAAAAGTCATTCACCGTAACGTTAAAAGTATATGAATAAAGTACTTCTTTGAAGATAAAACCATAGTTTTTAGATATGAAACCATTCAAATGCAGGAAATTCCATAGTCGCACAAGAAAGCTGTATTGACTTACAGACTTGCAAGGATGAGAGTCAATAAACAGACCAAACAAGAAAGGTCATAAGATGGTTTTAGACACTGAACATCAAGGAAATAACTCCCTTATATAAACAGGTGATGCATGCAGTTCAAAGGTCTACGAGTACTAAGGCAAAGAAGATAGTGTAATAGATGTAGAGCGCGCACAAAAATGCCAACACACAAAAAAAAAAACCCAAAACAAAGATTACATAATGCAAATCTTTAAGATGCAAAGTCAAAATGCATAAAATTGAACAAAAACGATAATAAAATAATCTACACATTTGATAACTCAATAGGAAATTCAAACATCAAAAGATTAATGAATAGTTTTTTTGGGCGCAATTAACAATACAATTATCACAAATTTTAAGAAAGCTAAACTCATGCAAAAAAAAACAAATAAATTAGTAAAATAATTAAGTAGAGAAATCTTCAAAGTGAAAAAAATCCAAGCATCACACCATTACAAGGAAATATCTTCCCCAAAAAATTCTGCCACATTGGTCCTGCACTTGAAATAATCTCCCATCAAGTATGCACACACAAAATTGAAAACAAAAAAAT